ATAATATGCTTTATGCTACAATTGAACCAAATTCAACTCCGGCTTCAACATAATATCAGGAGTTTTAGTGAACAAGTAGATTATAAACCAGCCTTAATAAAGAGGCTACCCTATACGTGGAAATTTTCGAGGGGATAAATTTTCAAGAATAATAAACTTGTAGGATTTTGCGAGGCCAAATTTTCACATTGTTTTGAAGTGCCACCATTTTGTAATAATTTGAAAATTTAAAATTAATTTTTGTGAATGACCACCCAATTCGTGAAAATTGCAAAAATTTATCTCATCAAAAATTTCCATGCATATATGGTATACCGTATACTGGGAAATTTCCGAGTAGCCAAATTTTCGCGGATTTCGTGTTTTCTTGCTCCGTTGTGAAAATAAAAATCGTGAAATTCTGGATTTACATTGCCACGTGGTGGAGTTTACAAGCTATTCGTGAAAATATTATTTCGTGAAATCTTACAAATGCAAAATTCGCGAAAATTTAGCAACGCGAAAATATCCCAGTATACGGTACTGTACGTACATTATTATTATTATTAAATTTAAATTACTTAAATTGCTTCAGTTTGTGTGTCAGTGATAGATGAGTTAGAAGTCTCTGTCTCTTCTTAAACTCTTGACCACACCCCTCCTGATTGCACTAAAACCACACCCACTAATAATTGGTAAGTGACACGCCCATTACCTTATAAGGGCACGAATCTAAATGAGTTTTTAAGTGACGCTTCAGGTTGGATGATGATGAATAGACACGGCCACAACCTGTCACAGAGCAACTAGAAATAATTGAAAATAATAACTTTTTAAAAATAAATAAAAAATAAATGAATGCATTAAATTTTGCTACAAAATTTGGCCAAATATTCTGTAATATAGTAGAGCTTCTTTGTCAAAAATGACAAGGAAAGAATTTTCATTTTCATAAGTTTTTCTAATACAATGTACATGAACATGTATTCTTATGTTGGTTAGAACTGAATTTTTAAATTTGGCTAAAAATCATGTATAAAAAACAAAAGTACCTCTGAAATGAGGACACCACAGGTAGTGTGGGCCCAATGGTGTCCTTAATAAAGAGGCTACACTGTACATGTATTAAGGACAGGTAGTGTGGGTCCAATGGTGTCCTTAATAAAGAGGCTACACTGTACATGTATTAAGGACAGGTAGTGTGGGCCCAATGGTGTCCTTAACAAAGAGGCTACACTGTACATGTATTAAGGACAGGTAGTGTGGGCCCAATGGTGTCCTTAATAAAGAGGCTACACTGTACATGTATTAAGGACAGGTAGTGTGGGCCCAACGGTGTCCTTAATAAAGAGGCTACACTGTATAATTACTACTAAAATTACTAATAATAATAATAATAACTATTCTCTGTAAAACCTCAGACCGTCAGCAATTAATTAAAACAAAGTTCACATCCCAAAATACTACAAAATGATAACAACAGCCTCAAAGCATCTGCCCCCTGGCAACAGTTGCCTAACAACCGATTCTCACTTAGCAACCGTTACTTAGCAACCGTATCCTAGCAACGACTCACGTGAAGTGCTTCTTGTCTGGTGAGTGTGTGAATGTAGATTTTATATACTAAGGGGAGGGAGGGAGAGAGAGAGAGAGAGAGAGAGA